TGGAGAGGCGGATTTTATCTTTTCAAGGGCGGACTTTTGGGAGTGGCAAGTAATGGATAGTGTGATCCTTGGAGACTTTTGGATTGAGAGCGTTCAATTTCTTCATTTTGCTAATCTTCAGCTTTGCTTTGACGATATCATATACACTCGTGATTTAGGTTTAGGGCACAATTCCGGGTTTGGTATAGTGGATGGGTACGAGTCCTCTCTTTCTATCATTTCTCAATCCTGGAGCTCAACCAAATATTGTCTCGCCTGACGACCAAGATTTAGGCTGCAAGCTCCAAACCTGAGGCTTGCCAATTGGTATGTAACATGCTTATCATAGAATATTCTGGCCTGTGTAAGGACTTTTTCTCCACACCTCCGTACATCTAGTTTTCGGTACCCTATGGCGCCTTTTTTCTTCTCCTCAGATGTTAACAGGTTCGTCTCCTGACACCTCTTAACTAAACTTGAGGCATCCATATCATGCCGGAAGTCTTTTGATATTTCCGCCTTCTGGAATAGAAATATATATATCTCCTTGTCTGGGATCCAGGCACCACCTCACGATTGGTCAGATTTATGACTTAGGCTAGTAGTAGTCAAGCCAATCAAGGGTGGGGAAATTGGAGGAGGTCAGGACCGTATATGGATCTCCACAGATATGAGGAAACTGAGCATGGACCCTCATGATGTGTCTACGTGCGTACGAAGTGTAATATGGACGTAGTATTATGTCGATCGAGACCTACAAGTAGCCATAATTTATACAACGAGGCATACACTCTTTCTTTGCTTGTTTTGCTTTTCCTGATCCCCGGAAGCGCAGCAGTCATAGTATAAATACTATCATAATTTCTTTTGACTCCGGTCACATCATGTCCGGGTATTGCACACGGGCTCCACTTGTACAGCACATTCACGTTGGTGGCCAGGACTAATTTTTGTGCGCCTTGACGACCCCAACCACTAGTTTGGTGAAACCATGCAACCTATGCTGGGTAATTGTGATTGAATAGTCAACGAGGGTCTACAGAGAAAAGTTTTATATCACATGAGTTGGTAGTTATGGTGGTGATGTAGCCGAGATCATGGCGAAATAAGTTAGCACTGAATGGAGGATGGGTACTACACTTTACATAGTGGCTAGCGGGGAGAAGAGGACGAGCGACCAGCTAGTATACTAATCACCTTAACAGAGCTTAAAGGAGAGTGGCTGGTTGTAAAGGATAATGAATAGTAAAGAACATTGATGAATAGACAAGTAGAACTAATAAGCCATCCATCAGTGAGTATAACGTATCCGCCCCACGGGAAAGCCTATCCTACCCTTCCACATAATGATAAATCTCTATTAACCTCATCATATATTAAACATTCTCCAAAGATAGACAAACAGTAAAGTAGAAAAGCGAAACCCCCGACCGTCTATATCAATATTCAAACCCTTAGTTCGACATACTGTATTTGCGGATGGGACTGGGAAGGAACGACAGCTGTAAACGGGAGGATAGATTGTCGACTCCTGTAGACGAGGGCCGGCTCTATGAAGGCTGGATACTTTCCATGAGGCTCTGAAAGAAACAAACATAATAACAGATAGGAGCAGACAGGATGAAAGATGACATACTTCTGGTTGCCATTACTTAGTCTGGGGGTCTTTGGTGTCCCAGTTTGAGGGCTGTCTTTGGGTTGGAGGTGTGCTTCCCGGCTGGTTGTTACCATCTGGGATACGCTGTAGACATTCTTCCTGGTGGTTTACGCCTTCGCTGTGTGGAGAGTCAAGGGAAATCCCTTTCGTTGGGGGGAAAGCCACCTTGTCTGTTTGAACGTGGCCGCAGGATACGACGGAGGATGACTTGGAGGACATCTCAACCGAATGGGGATATGGGAATAGCTTTAGAGAGAGAGGTAGAACCTGAACTCTTGATATGATATTGACGGAGTAGAAAACAAGAAAAATGCCGTTGATGAAGTTAGAATGAGAAAAAAAACTCAGGAAGGAAGTTCCCACTGATTGTCTGGCTTTCAACCCAAATTTATAGTAATGAAAATGACCCTTCCTTAGCCATGATAGTAATCCCCGGCAGAAGCCAGGAAGGAATATCGTAGGAAGGAAAGACGAAACGAGCTTGTGAATGCTCCTTGCATGATCCTTTGATCCTCTATTCATGTGTGTTTTATTGGTTAAGTTCGACCCACGACGGGTGCGAGCTGATGGCAAAAGGAATGAAGGTCGACGTGAATCCAACCAGGAGCTTCGAATGATCGATATTCACCATTCTGGGTGTTGCCGGTTGTAAGAAAAGCTACGACAGCCATCTCACAGCCATCTCGAATCTTGGGCGTCCAATACGCTAGGCCTGTTGAAGGAAAGTGTTAAGGGTAGAGCACGGGGGAGGGCACACTTACAGGCTGCCCCGGCGGAGGGAGGCACGCTCTGCATGCGTAGCGTGAAGCCATCAGACCCGGGTTTATCTCATGGAAGAAGCCGGACAGGAAGCTGACGGAGACAGCTGCTCTCCTGCGTAGGAGGTCTATCTGGAACGTCCTAGACAGGTAACGTGATAGCTCAACCGGGGTTGCGCCAATAGGTGACGTTCGTGGCATTATGCGGCCAATTAGCATATGTCGACGGGTATAGAGAGGGGACTTGCAGTGCAATAGGAAAGAAAGAGCAGGGCCGTGTGTGTTAACCCCGAATTTGCGTGGACAGTAGTTAATGACTTTGCTTGGCACACAAACACTCGTGGACGACGCAGAATTCCCACTTAGGGTTGGACGATCTAGGAAAACTGGAGAAGAAACATGGTCCTTAGATGAAAGAACATCAAGGCTTGACTGAGGGTACTCTTCGATCCAAGAATGTTTGTCACAGATTGGCCAGAAACGTGAAGGAAGTGACGAGAGGACAAAATAGGAGAGGAAGAGAGGAAGAAAGGCTGATGATGATAGAGGGGGCGGGGAGGAGTATATAAAGGGGGAAACCTTTGGCCTGGCGAAGGGGACAAGAGGGGAAAAAAGGAGGAAAGTATGCGCCCAGTCACAGGGGCTGGCCAATGGTATGCATCGGATGGCTCGCATTAGGGGAAGTTTGCCCTAAGATTATGCTGGGAAGCCTGACTCTCTGCAGCCCCTGGCCGTTCCTGTAACACTCAACAGCAATGAGGAGCTAGCACGGGGGGAGAGCAGATAAACGACGCAGAAAGGTGATAATATGCCTATATGGGGAACACGGCCATCGAGTAGAACTCTATCACTGACAGTGAGGGCTCAGTTAGGTACCACGGAACGCTTCCCCCTGAAAATCCCAGCAGAGAGAAACAGATCCAACACAGAAAACATTGCTCGCAAGGGCTGGTGATCACCACAGCAGAAACACTGTCTCCGAGCAAATCTACCACTCCCAAGCCACAAGCGATTGAGTAGGTATAAACCCTCGCGTCTCGAAGGTTCGTGTTTGGCAGTTCGTTGGGCGAGGAGGCCCTTGAATATATACCTTCCACCTGAAGAAGGACAATTCATCCCAAGTTATTTCATTGGTTTACTGGAGGCCAGTTCGGCAACGAATTGTTTTCCATTGGTTATTGTCTGGCTGTGACTATTGGGCCACAGAACCAATGCTATGTCTCCGCATGGAGTCCTTTTGGAAGCACATATGATATTTCATCGAGATCAAGCGAGCGGAAAATCTGACGTCGTTGAAAATATCAGCGGTTTGAGGTGAATGCCAAGAGACGATAGAGTTTTCGGTCTCACAATAGCATTCTTCTTTCAGTTAGTTTCGTGGATCCTTTTGAAATGTTGGCTTGTTGGCCCGACTAAATGTGCGCATCTGCCGATATCAGGGGCCTAGAGGCGACTTCGCGTGCCTCGATATACGTGGATTTCGGATCTTTCCATGATGACAGATATGGCTGATCAACCCCTTTCCTCACCAACTTCTTCAGAAAGAATGGAGAATGGTGACTGGTGAGATGAATGCTCACTTGGACATGTCAGTACTTATATATACCCAGTGCCTATAAGTACGCGTTCTTTGACTAACAGATTGCTAGCTATCTTTCTACGGGGCCTGATGCAAATTGGTACTTGGTTCCATTTAGTAGGCATTGCCCACTTGATTGTTTGCAGGTGGAATGCCGGAAACAGAACATTTTGAGAATGCAGATGACAAAGAAATATCTCCAACACTGTGTCATGGCACAATGAAGGTTTTGCGTTTCAATCTGACATTTGAGAGTTTGGTGGAGAAAATGAATCTCACACAATGGGTGCGTTGATGGGTTTGCTGTCTTGAAAATATCCTTTCAAATGGAATTTTCCTGAGCTACCCTATGAGTATTTTATTTCCGGTTAGATGTAGCAGAACATCGGTCCAATGCATGTCACACTGACTTTTTATCTTGAATTTCTTTTTGAAAGCGGTGCTATCCCTGAATTCGTTTCTTTTCCGTCCGCTTTTCATAATGAACTTGCTAAGCAAGAACCATGGCTCCAAGGTGTGAAAATTGAATAAATAGGAAGAAAGTGGTAGCCTAGCTTGTGAGCATTCTTCATCCTACAAAGAAAAGCTGATAATAGAAGGTGTTTACTACGGACCTCCATCAGCGGTGCATGTATATCTCAATTCTGAACAGAACCAAGACTGCCTTCTAAATTATTTCTTTAAGAAAATGGTTTTGGATTCTACTTGTGTCCTATGAAAACCGAAGAGTAAAACACTTAGCATTCGCAGTTGACTCCAGTCTGCTGCTTAAAAAAAAAAAAAAAAAAAAAAAAAAAAAAAAAAGATAAATGTATGATAGAGATTTCTTTACCTTCTTATCGCATTCGCTCTCATGGGTTTGGCCAATCACCTTGGCTTTGAAAATCGATATTGGTAGCAAGAAATGACACACGTGGGAACGTGATTAATAGTTTATCAGATGTGAATTGAAAATAACCATAATCTTTGTGTTACACAAGAGCATTAGACAGCTTCTTACATCTACAAATTCAGTATCTCCGGATTATCACTTGACATTCCTGCTGGAAGAGATAAATTTCTATAGATTGTAGGTTAAAATGAGGAGGAAGAAATTGAGGACATTGAGCACGCTGAGAGAGATACCTGGGATGCTACCTCAGCCTCTTCGTAGCACCCTGTGCAAGGTATCCTTTCCACACATATAGTTGAGTTCTCTTGGTTCCAATTGCCTGCCATCTCAGTGACTCCAACAGACGCATACATATACACATATATCATTGTTGGAGAATAACATCGAAGAGCGTGTTCTATTATTTTGGAGCAAAAAAAAAACATGAAGCTTTCCAAACAACCCCTTTAACAATCGGAAGAACTCGAAACCGGCAAACCCATTTTATGCGGCAAAGGAAAAAGTAAGGAACACGATAGACATCCATGTGGCAGCGTTAGAATAACGTTACGAGAAAGAGATGCGAAATAAAGGAAATCAGAGGCTATCACTTAAAAAGGTGGAGGAGGAGGGGGGGACTGGCTGGGAAATAGAAGGCGGAGAGATAACATGAAATGAAATGAGGAGGAAAGAAATTAACAAAAACCAATCCCAACATTTCCCCTCCATATCGACAAGAAACCATAACGGTGTTAAAGCTCCTCTGCCACCGCACTTCATCTCCGCATCTGCTCCCGTTCGACCTCGTACTTGAAATCAAAATACGGTTTATCAAAATGGTGAACACGCACGTATCCATCCTCTCCTCCAGAGGCATAGCCAGTGCCCAGTGGGTGCGCGGCGATCGTGTTCAGAGGACCGAAGTGGCCCTTGACACGGCCAATCTCGTCCTCAAAGATCTTGTGGTAGAAGCGGGCTTCGAACTTTCCTTGTCGGGCGTCGGTGGTGGTGACGTCCATGGCTGCTTGACCACCGCCCAGAATTACAAAGTCTTTCTTGGTCGTGATGGCTGCGGTATTGAGGGGGGTGTCTGCTACGTAAGTTTTAAGAATGGCGAGGTTTCGGGAGGAAATTATCTAGCATTTTGGAGTTAGCTGCATAATGTATATAATATATAATATGAATTTTAATGGATAGCAGATAAGTGGATAAGAACTCCAGCACATACCTTGGCACTCTTGTCTTTGCATGCGGTGATGAAGTATGTTCGGTCAGGGGAGAATTGGATGTCGTTGATTTGGTAATCGAATTCATGAGCTTGGACGTTCTCAAGCTGCTCTCCGGTCTGTACATTGAATCCCACATGAGTTAATGAAAGAACTTCGACACAATAGACAAGGCATATCCTGCTATTTATGGGACCGTACCTTCGCATCGTATTGGCTGACACTGCCATCCTCATGTCCAGCAATGATATATTTCGAGAGGAAACTCCACCCAGCAACCGTCGCCTTGCTCTCTTCGCATGTGATTTTCAAAGAAGGTTCTTCGGGTTGATCTTCTAAACCATTTCCCTCCCCATCACCGTACCGTATATCAAATACCACAATTGTAGCCAGGTATCCCATCCGCTTCTCAGTTACACCCAATAACCGCTTGCCATCATGGCTGAACTCCACCCGCTTGACGGCCGTGGGGAAATCCCACACCTTGACGCACTCGCCGGTCTTCGTATTCCAAAGTCTGATGGTATTGTCTGCAGCGCCAGTAGCGACAAGAAGGCTGTTTGGGGTAACATCGACAGTCCACAGGGCACCCTGGTGTCCGTGGTAGGTGCCTAGTCGTTCACCATTTGCGGAGAACCAGGAGCAGAGAATCTTGTCTTTCGCGACTGAGAAAAGGAGATCGCCATCACGGTTGAATTTTATTTGATTGATAGACCGTTCCTGTAATTTCGTGCGTGTTAGCTACTGGAGAATCAATGTAGCTTGGGTGTCCGGGTTCGGAAAAGGAAGTCAGTCCATACATGGCCTTGAAGAAGAATGGGTCTCATATTGCCGATAGTAAAGGACCACTACTTGTGATCGCGATTCAACAAGTTATAGCAGGGTATGTAGCAGACACGCAAAGATGCTCGCTACTCTTGGTAGACAAGCTTAATAACCTGTGGAGTGGATGTGTCGTTGGCTGGACGATGTCTGTTCACTCTCGTCTTCCTCCGATAATTTCGTCGCACACTTCGATTCGTGCCAAGAGTTAAGTTACCATACCGGCTATCTCACAACGGAATACCGGGGCTATAATAATCCGATATATTTTACAGCCTAAATTAACGTTTTGTCAGCGGGAGAAAAGCTTAAAAAAGGCTAATCTGGGAATTTGAGATATTTTTTTGTTCTAAGGAAAGAATTCGAATCATTAGAAGATTCAATTGTGCCCTGGTGAGCGCTGAGTCAGTGACCATAATGCGTAGTAATAACTTAGAATAGTCAGTTATCGAGGAGCCAAAAATAATTGACCGTAGATTTCCTTCCTCTGGAAAATATTGAAGCCTCGCCCTCTGGTTGATTATTACCCTGCCATCTGGGGTTCCTTTCCCGACAGCCAGCAGTCACACTTAGCGGCGCTTTCAAGCTCCCTTGCCATATTCTGACTCCCTCTAGCCGCAGGAATTGGTTGTTGCTCAAAGCCCAATTCCCTCCAGGCCAAGGCCGAGGCGATGCTCGTACCCAGCAGAAGAGTGGTTTGTCACAAGTATCAGTGTCTGGCGCCCACAGTTGGCTCCCCGCGGCCTAACCGGCTCTGTGCCTGCCCCTCCATCCCAATCCCTCGAACGCACACTCACCACGACTCGAGATTGGCGACACGGTTCTTTTCTTCATGCAGCACCAGCTCCATTAGTAATATCCCCCACGTCTTCAAGGCTTCTTCAATCAGCAACCCCCGTTTCCCGCGATTTCCACTGGGACGACGCTTCTTTACGTCCAGCAACTTCAATATGGCGGCTGTCAAGATTGATGGCACTACAATTGCCAAAAACATCAGGGAGCGCCTGAATGTCGAGATTCAGAAGTCACAGGAAACCAATCCTAGGTTCAAGCCTTGCTTGGTCATTTTCCAAAGTACGTGCTCTATTCGTTGCAATTGCATGAGCTGCGTCTCATTCTCATCGCATACGAGTTACCTTTTTTTTTTTTTTTTTTCAACGGCAATTTGAAACTAACTGGACTTATTTCGCATATAGTTGGCGACAGATCAGATTCCAGTATGATATAGACTATATTATTCTTTCCCTTTCTCGCTCATTTGCTAACAGCTTATAGGCACTTATGTGCGCATGAAGCTGAAGGCTGCTAAGGAGGTATATACCCTGCCCTCTTTTTTTTCCAATTAAAATAAAAGCACACTGGCGCTCACTGGTTATCCATGGCTATAGGCAAATATACACTGCAAACTTAACAAATTCGCTGAAGATATCAGCGAACCCGAACTGCTTCAAGAAATCTCACTCGCAAACAACGACCCGAGCGTGCATGGCATTATCGTCCAATTACCTCTCCCAAGCCACCTTTCCGAACATTCTATTACATCTGCTGTCGCTGCGGAGAAAGATGTTGACGGCTTTGGAGCTGTCAATATTGGAGAGCTGGCCAAGCGAGGAGGCAAGCCTCTGTTTGTTCCATGCACCCCCCAGGGAGTAATGGAACTCCTTCGTACCACTGGAGTTGAGCTGGCCGGCAAAAATGCCGTGGTTTTGGGCAGAAGTGACGTTGTTGGAAGCCCTGTCAGCTACTTGTTGAAGAGTGCGGATGCCACTGTCACTGTCTGCCACTCGAAAACCAAAAACTTGGAAGCCATTGTCAAGGATGCAGATATCTTGGTTGCTGCCATTGGGAAACCCGAGTTTGTCAAGGGTTCGTGGCTTCGACCGGGCGTGGTGGTCATCGATGTTGGCACCAACTACATTCCTGACGCAACGAAGAAATCAGGCCAACGGTTGGTTGGGCGATGTTGAGTTTTCTTCGGCGAGTGAAGTCGCGTCGCATATCACTCCTGTTCCTGGGGGCGTTGGACCTATGACCGTAGCCATGCTTCTTCAGAATGTGGTTAATTCCGCAAGAGCCTATTTCGAGAGGCAAAAGGATAGGCACATCACACCTCTACCTATCAAGCTTCAAAGCCCAGTCCCCTCAGACATCGCCATCTCTCGAGCCCAGCGGCCCAAGCCTATTACCCAGATTGCCGCAGAGGTCGGCATTGAACCGCACGAGTTAGAGCCATACGGACATACCAAGGCCAAGGTTAGCCTTGACCTTTTAGATCGTCTATCTCACCGCCGTAACGGACGCTATATTTTGGTATCCGGAATCACCCCAACCCCTCTAGGGGAAGGCAAATCGACCACGACTATGGGTCTCACACAGGCTCTTGGCGCCCATCTCAACAGGGTAGTCTTCGCCAACGTCCGACAGCCCAGTCAAGGCCCTACCTTCGGAATCAAGGGCGGTGCAGCTGGAGGAGGATACAGCCAGGTCATCCCTATGGACGAATTCAACCTTCACTTGACCGGTGACATTCATGCTATTACGGCTGCAAACAACTTGCTAGCAGCTGCTATCGAAACGAGAATGTTCCACGAATCCACGCAAAGCGACGCTGCGCTATATAAACGGCTAGTGCCAGTCAAGAAGGGGAAACGCGAATTCCAAAGCATCTTCTTCCGACGATTGAAGAAATTAGGGATTACAAAAACGGACCCAAACGACCTAACACCAGAGGAAATCAACCGCTTCGCAAGATTGGATATTGACCCGGAGACCATTACCTGGCGGAGAGTCCTGGACGTGAACGACAGGCACCTGCGTACCATAACGGTTGGCCAGGCTGCAACCGAGAAAGGCCACACTAGACAGACCGGCTTTGATATCTCCGTTGCAAGCGAGTGTATGGCCATCCTCGCCCTTAGCAATGACCTTGGCGACATGCGAGAACGCCTTGGTAGAATGGTGGTTGCAACGTCTAAGAACGGCGATCCCGTCACTTGCGACGACATTGGCTGCGGGGGCGCCCTCGCTGCGCTGATGAGGGATGCAATTAAACCAAATCTCATGCAAAGTCTCGAGGGAACGCCAGTGTTTGTCCACGCTGGGCCCTTCGCCAACATCAGCATTGGCGCCAATTCCGTCGTGGCGGATAAACTCGCCCTGAAACTGGCAGGCACAGAGCCAGACGAGGACCATGAAGCAAAGACCGGGTTCGTCGTCACCGAAGCCGGCTTCGATTTCACCATGGGCGGCGAGCGGTTCTTCAACATCAAGTGCCGCTCGTCAGGCCTCGTTCCGGACACGGTGGTCATCGTCGCCACCGTCCGAGCCATCAAGGCTCACGGAGGCGGGCCCCCTATCGCCCCCGGCGCCCCGCTGGCTGCAGAATACACGACCGAAAACGTAGAACTGTTACGAAACGGCTGCGTCAATCTGAAGAAACAGATCGAAAACGCAAAGCGCTACGGCATCCCCGTCGTGGTCGCCATCAACAAATTCGAAACCGACACGGACGCCGAGGTCGCGGTGATTCGCGAAGAGGCAATCGCCGCAGGCGCGGAGGATGCTATTCCCGCCAACCACTGGGCGGAGGGTGGTGCCGGAGCCGTCGACCTAGCCAAGGGCGTCATCATCGCCAGCTCGAAGCCCAAGGATTTCAAGCTGCTGTATGATCTCGAGGGCACGGTACAGGAGCGCATCGAGCGCATCGGGAAGGAGATGTACGGCGCCGCGAAGGTGGAGTTCAGTGAGCTTGCGCAGAAGAAGGTCGACTCGTATACCAAGCAGGGCTTTGGAAACCTCCCGATCTGCATTGCGAAGACGCAGTATTCGCTCAGTCACGATCCGAACCTCAAGGGTGCGCCGACCGGCTTCACCGTTCCAATCAGGGATGTCAGGCTTGCCGTTGGTGCGGGATATTTGTATGTTTTTTTTTTTTTTTTTTTTTTTTTTTTTTTTCTTTTCCTTTCCCTTCTCTTCCCTTTCTTTCCTTCTTTGTTTGGTTTGTTTTAAATTCTTCAGGACGGGTTGGCGGGGCTGTATACTACTCCAAATTCAAAGATGTATGAATGAAACTAACGAATATATATCTTACAGGTACGCACTCGCCGCTGATATCCAAACCATCCCCGGCCTCCCCACTGCACCCGGATATCTCAATGTCGATGTTGATGCCGAGACTGGCGAAATTGATGGTCTTTTCTGAAATAGAAAGTTTCCTCCCTCCTGAGCTAGATGAAAGAAAGAGCTCTTTATCTCCGTTTAGATTTATATATGAGAGAGAAGAGAAAGAGAGCAGAGAAAGAAAGAAAGAAAGAAAGAGGAGTAAATTAGAAACACTAAAAATTTCAACAACCGACGACGCATAGTCCACCTATACCCACCACACACACACACCTCCCTGTCCCCCCTACTCTTATTCATTCAACAAAATTCCAAGGGTTTTTTTTTTTTTTTTTTTTTTTTTCAAATCTATCTGGTGGGAGAAACATGCGTGATACCTCTTCTAGACTTTTCCTTTCGATCTCTATCAAGATTTTCACATTCTTCTCCTCTCGTACTCTTCTCTCCCCTTCCACTCCTCTCTCCTTGAAATGTTGTTGTTTTTCCCACTGGCCCCTTTCCTTCGGAATTGGGCATATTCGTTCTTGGTTAGTTAGATAGGACCACCTGCGTATGGATGGGGTGTAATATATATTCACTCAGCAGTATCATTTGATAGTTAGGAGAGTTTATCATGATTGTTTGGGGTTTGATGGAGGACAGTAGACAGTAGACAGTACTACTGCCATAAGTAGTGGGCCAGTAGTGTGAAGATAAGATTAGCCGTGAGTGCAGCATCATGCATGTGCAGGGAAGGGGGGGGGGGGGGGGATCCTTGGCCCACGACTGCATGGATGTAGATGTATGGACAAGTACATGTACAGTACATTGCAATGGCAGAAGGTATCACATCACTGCCCAAGCAGGAGTGTAACAGGTATGTATGTATACATCTGCAGCCAAATGTCACCCCGCCAACCAGCGTCCCGCGCCGTGGGGGTGGCCCCAGCCACTCTCCGCCAATAGCAGCGTCCAGGCACCAGTGGGGCCTCGGATCTAGCGGCAGCCTGGCAGCCGACGTCATATATAAGGTTGCATCACGCGGGGCTTGGCGTGGCCGGATACAGCCTAGCGCGGGCTGCCCATTCGTCCGCCAGGCTGAACAGCCAATGACAGCCAATGACAGCCAACGACAGGCAGGCCCCGCCGAGGGGCCGGGATGCTGAATCGGGACAGTTTTGCCGGCGCTGGCCGCGACCAGGAGGAGGATGGCTGTACTCCGTAATGAGGTAATAGTAAGCACACCGTGGAGGGATGGGGGGCAAGCGTCTGAAACTGCTCTCCGTGTTGCTTCTTCGCCCTCTTCCACTTCCTCTTCCACTTCCACATCATCCATCGCTGTTCACTGCTGTCCTTCTTCCCTCACAGTTTCGAGCTTGAGCTTTGCGAAGTACCAAACTCAAATATCCACCACAAGTCGGGCCCGAAAAAGAGATCAAATTACAAAAGCGCTAGAGGGAAGGGAACAACACAATCAGAAGCAGAGGAGCCAGATTTTACAACCAAAGAAAGAAAGGGAGCTTGCCGCAAGCGTCAAGCGATTAACTGCCTGCCGGCCTGACTGACTGACTGACTGACTGACTGACTGACTGTCTGTCTGCTGCTGGTGTCAAGATCTCGGGTGCTGTCAATCTGGAGCCATGCCTTCCCTCCGGCCCACTTCCGTTCATACCCGACTCCCGCTGCCCTTGGTTTCTTCTTCCGCTGGCGCACTCCGCTCTCTATCCGTCTCGCAGCGCGCTTCGTTCGCTTCTTCTTCCTCCTCAGCTCCCTCCTCCCTCCTTCACCTCCTCCTCCGACTCCGCCCCCTTCTTCTTGCGCCTCTCTTCTGGTCTGCCAAAACCACCATCCTCCTCCTTCCTCGCCAGCTCCACCCCGAGAGCCTTCCCAGGGGCAATCCTCCCTTCAACCTCACAGACACGCAAAATGACAGGCTCCCGCCGGAAGATCAAGGTGAAGAACCCCGTGGTGGAATTGGATGGCGATGAGGTATGTTGCTTTTTTTTTTTTTTTGTTTTTCCTTTTTCCTTTTTTCTTTTTTCTTTTCTTTTTTTTAGAGGGGTGTGAACATTCAACTCTCCTCAACCCCACCACGTACGGGGCGACATAGCGTCAATTCCGTGTAGTACTGGGTATGTATTGATTTGGCGTGGATATTATCTGTGTTTCATGTTATTTCATTTTCATTTTCATTTTCATTAGGAGTTATGTGTGGTGGTGTCAAAAGCGTTGAATTGTGCTGGTGCAATTCTTCTTCATTTGGCTTTTTTCTTATCAACGAACACTGACCGAGAGCTTCTCTGAGCTGGCAACATAGATGACAAGGATTATTTGGCAAGATATCAAGGATAAAGTAAGCACGATACTCCCCCCTGATTTGCTATCAACTCCCAAAAAGCATATGCCGGCGCAAGCAACCTTGGAACTCCGGGAAGCTAACCTCCTTGTCACCTTCCAGTTTATACACCCGTCAGTCTGATTGACCCCGTCCCCATTCTCTCCCCCATCTTCACCGGCAACCGCAGCTATTTGCGTCTGGTTGATCTCTAGCATTACTAAGGCCGGTGGTGTTTCAGATATCTTGATATCGACCTCAAGTATTATGATCTGGTATGTGGATCTCCTTTTCCTTCCCTTTTTTTTCTCACTTTCCCTCCGAATCGTTCTCGTGGACATGGTTTGCTAACATGTATGAGCTTCATAGGGCTTAGAATACCGTGACCAGACCAACGACCAAGTCACCATTGATTCAGCAGAGGCTATCAAGAAATACGGGGTAGGCGTCAAGTGCGCTACTATTACCCCAGACGAGGCCAGAGTCGAAGAATTTAAGCTGAAGCAGAGTGAGTCCGCCGCCCTGAGCCTTTCCATCAGCTCCCGCATGTTTTCTTTTCGACAGCTACTAATTCACTTCTTCTCTAGTGTGGCTATCTCCAAATGGGACTATCAGAAACATCCTGTGAGCCTTTCCAAATCTAAATTCAATCTAAATTTCGCTCGTTCGGATCGCTAGAAATCAGCCTCGCTAATACCTCTCTAGCGGCGGAACTGTTTTCCGTGAACCGATTGTGATTCCTCGCATCCCCCGACTCGTACCCGGCTGGAAGAAACCAATTATCATCGGTCGACATGCATTTGGAGACCAATACCGGGCCAAGGACCTCGTCGTCCCCGGACCAGGCACCCTCGAGCTCGTCTACACGCCGAAAGGCGGCCAGCCCGAGCACATTAAGGTCTTCGATTTCGAGGGCGGCGGAGTTGCCATGAGTCAATACAACACAGATGATTCCATCGCCGGCTTCGCGCATGCCAGCTTCAAACTGGCTCTCTTAAAAGAAATGCCCCTGTATATGAGCACCAAAAATACTATTCTCAAGAAATACGACGGGAGGTTTAAGGATATCTTCCAGGAGATCTTTGAGGCGAACTACAAGAAGGACTTCGATGCCAAGGGCATCTGGTACGAACATAGACTTATCGATGACATGGTCGCGCAGATGATCAAGAGCGATGGTGGCTTCGTCATCGCCATGAAGAGTAAGCCTAACCCACACAACCGTCGCTTGGCCATATTTACCTCCCCACCCCCACCCCAACACACACATACATTTAACAACCCCCTTGCCAACAGACTACGATGGCGACGTCCCAATCCGACATTGTTGCCCAAGGTTTCGGCTCCCTCGGCCTGATGACCTCTACCCTCACAACTCCTGACGGCAAGGCATTCGAATCCGAAGCCGCCCACGGCACCGTCACCCGCCACTATCGCGAATACCAAAAGGGCAACGAAACCTCCACCAACCCCATCGCGTCCATCTTCGCCTGGACCCGCGGCCTCATCCGCCGCGGCCAGCTCGACAACACCCCCGACGTCGTCGTGTGGGCGGAGCAGCTGGAGCGCGCGTGCATCGATGTCGTCGACGAGGACGGGGTCATGACCAAGGACCTGGCGCTAGCGTGCGGGCGCAAGGATCGCGCGGCGTGGGTGACGACGCGAGAGTATCTAGAAGCGGTAGAGAGGCGGTTGCAGAAGAATCTGGCGAATGCGAAGTTGTAGATTTTTTTATTTTCTCTCTCTTCACATATATTTCTCTGATTTCTGATCGATTGGTTTTTTTTTTTTTTTTCGCTTCGTTCTCCGTCCCTTCTTTCTTTATTTTTTCAAACCCCCGTTTACTTTCGGGAATTGGATAGAGTGAGTTGATGATGTTCTGTTTTGGTAGCAGGTAGCAGGTGTATATATACCCGTGGGATCTATGAAAAATGAGCCCTAGCACCACGCCCGAAACCCTCCCTCCCCAAAAACAAACCCACACTCTCTTCTTTATCCAACCCAATCTTCTTTGGGCCAAAATGCACACATGATCCGCACGAAGAAAGCACAACATGTGCGCGTGTGCGTCCGTGTGGTATTTTTTTTATCTTTTTTATCTTTCTGTCATAAATCTCTAGCTCACTTTTTTTCATATATATAGAGATAGAGATAGAGATAGATATCGTATTTTATATCCGTATCCACAAACGATACGGATTAAAATACGCAGAGATGGGTAGGAGGAGAGAAAGCTCCGAACCTATTTACCATTTATATGTGTGTAACTATCATTTCAAACTATGTATTTTCCAAAAAACGAGAGAGAAAAAAAAAAAAAAAAAGGGGGGGGGGGGGTTACCGCATCAACAGATTCTCGAAGCCCCCACAATATAATCGTATTAGTTATCAAAGTTATATATATATAATGGGACCGTAAAGACATGAACACTCAATTCGGTACTGGATTGATAGTTAGTTAGTTTGGTGGTTTTTAGGTAGGTTTTTATTTGTTGTTTTATTATGTTTTATTTTATGAATATATTTATACATAGATAAATAGATAGATAGATAGGTTGATAGATGTATGTAAACTATATTTAAAAAGATTTACAGATTTACAGAAACATGAAATGCAAATATTCAAATTAGGTTTTTCTTTTTATTCTTCCCGCCTTCCGCCTCGCTCTCTCTCTCTCTCTCTCTCTCTCTCTATACAAGGGAAAAAAAAAAAAAAAAAAAAAAAAAAAACGGCAGTAGGCAGTACAGTACATGCGCAACGAAAATAAAAGAAAAAGAAAAAGAAAAACAAAATCCCATCACCTCTATTATGAACGGCCAATGACAACAACAACAACAACGACCTTCCCACAGCCGAGCATAATATTTTGTTTTGTTTTTTTTTTTTTTTTTTTTTTTTTTTTTTTTTTCCTTTCTTTCATCCACCAACCACACCCACTCGAGAATGGGCCCTTCCATCTCCCCATCCCCTCATCCCATTCAGCATTCTTCATACACAAAACCAAGTAGAGAAAGCATAATTTGTGTTTTTGAAGGGGTCTAAACCTCGGCGCGCCCCCCCCCCCCCCCCACCAACCTCCCTTCTTCTCCCTTCTCCTCCCTTTCATGCAAGTGTGCACAGAGAGATATGATTTAAAGCCCACACACACCACTCACCGCTCACCGCACACCCCGTCCCCGTCCCCATCCCCATCCCCTTTCCCTCTAAGACATCGTTCTTTATTTCGTCACGTTGGCAGGGGTGTACCAGAACGTCGGCCTCACGAATCTACAGGCGAGACGAATTGATTCGGGTGCGAGAATGGATGTGTTAGCGTTGGTTAAAGTTAAAAGGGGGATTCCAGCGTGCGGCAACACCAAATAAAAAAGAAGGAAATAAGCAGCGACGGCGATCTTCCTCTGGACAATAGCTTATATATATATATATATATATATATATATATGCAACTTTCCAGCCAGCCTGCGGGCAAAGTACACACACACACACACACGCACACACATATATACAATAATACACAAGACATGACTGAAAAAAAATGCGCGGAGTCCTGATTGTTGGAGCTGGAAGAAAAAAAAAAAAAAACGCACCGGTCCGAATGATAAACATTGGTCTCCGATCCCATCAGGTGCTTCTCCCGCGCTTTGTCCGCCAGGTGTCTGCGGACCTGGTCGCGGTCTTCCTCCGCCTGGAGGAGCGGGATGAGGTGGATGCGGGACCACATCTTTTCACGACCGAGTTCACTGCAAAGGAAGAAAAAAAAAAGAGGCGATGGGAATTCGGGCGCTGGTTAGCTCTCCATTTGTAACGCGGGGAAATGTAAAAAATGGAGGGCCGCGGGGGGGAACCTGGTTTATCGTATGATATTACAGGTTTTTCGTGTGTGGTGGTGGTGGTGGTGGTGGTTCGATTCGATGTCCCTTAACTTACTTCTGCTCCCGGATTCCCAGGAATACCTTGTAGAAGCCGTATGCCATGATCAGGTGCATGCCGACGAGGTAGTAGACGGGCCGGAAGCCGCGGACGGGGAGGTTGCGCTGCAGTAAATTATTATTATTATTATTATTATTATTTTTCCCAGGTCAGTACGGGGCGTCTCATAAAGCTGATATGGCCTCCACCTTGCTATCCTGACTAGTTGATGCTCTGGGGAATCTGGATACAGGAAAGAACCAAGGCAGGTTCGGGGAGCGGGTTCGATAACGCACTGGCGTACCTTATACTGGATGGGCTGATAGCCCCCAGCGGGGGGCATGTCTGAGGCATTGTAGCGGTTCAATTGGTGGGTTGGAAGGTTGTTTCAGGAACTATGGAAGTTGGAGATGGAAGGCGGATTGAGGGTTTGGAGAATTGTCACGTGAATTTTGCTGACTGTCAAACATGAGCGCTGCGTGATTGGACAGGGCTTATTTTTTCTTTGCTCAACACCCTATACTAGGGTTTGCAGGTCAAATCCGCGCATTGTTATATAGAATCTCACGTTCGGATGACTTTTTTTGAGATCACTTAAGCAATATGGATGATAGCGAGCGGCCAAGGAAACTACAGAAGACCGCCCATGATATGACAAGCCCCGCGACTGAGGGGCTGATCTCTACAACGACTTCCATTTCTACCCCCGATGGCAACGCAGCTGAGAACCATGGCGCGACCGAAAGCAACGGCCATCTAAATATTACGCTTAAATCCATACCCGAGACAGACGAAAATGGCCAGCCGTTATCAAAAAACCAAAGAAAGAAACTTCTAAAACGAGAACGATGGGCAGCCGGAAAGGAATGGCGCAAGGAAAAACGCAAAGAGAAGATCGTAGCGAAGAAGGAGCGCCAGCGCGCTGCGAAAGCCCAAACAGCTGCACAAGACGGAGTCGATCCAGATGATATGACTCTGCTATCGAGATCAGAGCGGAAGAAAGTCGAGCAGCAACGGTCCGTCCTCCTCCCGATAGCGTTTGTGATCGATTGCGACTTTGACGACCTCATGGTTGAGAAAGAGCGCATATCACTGGGTTCCCAGATAACGCGGTCGTACTCTGACAATGCAAAAGCGCAGTTCAGAGCTCACATGTTCATTTCGTCCTTTAATAAACGACTGAAGGAGAGATTCGATACTGTGCTTTCGAAACAATATATGCGGTGGAAGGGGGCTACTTTTATGGAGGAAGATTATGTGGTCGCGGCTGAACAGGCCAGGGAGCGGATGCGCAGGCCCACGGGCGGCAAAATGGTGGGGATGTTTGCTGGCAAAGACGCCGTCAGCCCCGATGATGGGGAGGTCATTTACCTCAGCAGCGACAGCCCGAATACTTTGACGGAGTTGAAGCCATATAGCACATATATCATTGGTGGGTTAGTTGACAAGAACCGGCACAAGGGAGTCTGTTACAAGAGCGCGATGGGGAAGGGGATCAAGACGGCGAAGCTCCCCATTGGCGACTACATGCAGATGCAGAGCCGTTATGTGCTAGCTACGAACCACGTTATTGAAATTATGATTAGATGGCTTGAGCTGGGCGATTGGGGGACGGCATTTTGTTTGGTTTTGCCGAAAAGGAAGGGTGGTGTTCTTAAGGACAATCCAGGCGAGAGATATGATCAGGAAGATGATCAGGGAGCTGAAGCTGATGAAGGTGATGCGCCAGCGTCTGAAGTTAAGGTTCAGGAAGCTGTTAGTTGCTCCTGACAACTTACGAGATTTAAGGGGATGAGATAGAAGATTTCCTATCCCAGGTTTACACCGCCCATACAATGCAATACCTTTGCGGCATGAACCACTCCGGGACAAGTTAAAGCAGGTATTGAGCAAGGAGATTGTTGTCATCTGTACCTGTGTAACTAGTCCGAACGCGGGTTACAGTTGAACGTGGTTTATTAAAAGTTGGACGTGGTTTAAAAAAAGTGGGTCTGAAAAATAAACCATGCTCAGCTCTCACTCTCTCACTAAAATACATACACTAAACATCTTTTACACACTCTCACTATATTATTAATCAGCTCTCATTTAGTCCTTCTACTTTAACATCTGAGACACTTCAACATCTGAAAAGCAGTTATAAGCTAGAATTAGTGATTAATATTAGTTAGGAGATAGAGCTTTGAGAAATAAGATAAAATCACTGTTCCCAACACATTTGAAGATGTGTGAGATATGTATGAGACATGACTAGTGTATGTAGTTTTAATGAGGGGTTTGACATGGTTTATGGACAAAACCACGCCGAAGGTTATTGATTCGCATAACTGACCCCGGAAAAATGTAAATGCGAGACTAATGCCACAAATAACTTTTTTTTGCCACGACCGCTAGCTGGTTCTGCCTATTTTGCTTTGTTATTATGACGCAGAAATAAATCAATTAGAATCTGCAGTTTCTTCACGTCACCGCCTTCGTCACTTCCACCCTCCCCACAAAGCTCAGCGAAAAATTTACAATTTGATTTAGGTGATGTGTATGACTTCGCAGAATACGCGCTTATATCCTCATAGCTTTTCAGTTAGCAACCGTGCACTCTTGGTCCTTGTGTGGGACTTGTGAGCAAAGATGTTCATGCTCCGCAATGGTATGTTTTGACGCCTCCATGCCAGCCCCTCTCCCCCCACCATACAATCAAGCACTCAAACCGCGTAGCAACCACCCCTAGCTACCATTCCAAAGAATAAAAATTCTTCATCTATTTTCCCATTGCATGGGGTTGCGGATTTTTTTTCTTCTCATTGTTTTTTGAAACTAATACTGACTTATTTTTTAGTGAGCAAGTTTGTCTTTGGTGACACTACGAAGGAATCCATAATCGAGATACCCCAAGGCCAACTGTATATCGTCCGACCACAGTCACCAAAAGGTTACTCAGAGCTTATATTCCGCGACGCTGCAGCTAGCATCCGACGCACAGGCCAGAAGTTCCAGTATCAGTTAGTGATCCAGCGAGCTTACGAGGAAGGAGAGGAGGAACTCGTAGGTGACGAGGACGAAGAAGATCCTGAGGGTCTGGGTGGAGATAAAGACGAGAAAACGTTCTTGCTAGACGAGGCGCTTCGTTTCCGATCCGAAGTACGCGAGGGAGGTGAAAAGGTTTTGGCTTGGCGCGACTTGAGTGGTGACCCGGGAGACCTTTTCGAATTCGTTTGCGACAGCTCAATCACTCCAGATAGGATTTCTACTTTTTGTCTTGCCGCTGTTGAGTGCCAGTACGAGCGGAAATACCGGAAGAGCTCGCAGAAGACGTCAGATCTTCAGGAGTTCTACTTCGACGACGAAAGCCCCATTCCCAAGGCTAGCCCGGTCGCGAGTCCCACCCTATCTCGATCCCCGACGATGAGGCAATCGACCACGGCTATGGCACGGGAAGTACCTGTGCCAAATGAGAAACCATCCGAAACTACGCAAGCCCCTCCTTCCGCTGCACATCCAGAGGCCACTGAGATCCTTGCGAAAGAAAATGCGGAGCTCCATCTCTTTGATTTCAATAGCGGAACATTCGTTCTGCAAGATCCCTCTGTCGTCGCAACTGTATCAGAAATTGGGAAATGGCAGTACTGGCTGCAGGTAAGTGGGAAGGACCGGGATTGGTTGGGGCAGGCAGTACTGGCGGATATAAATCCCGTATTCAATTTCGAATATCTCTCATTTATATTCAATCATTACACGGAAGATGGCTCGGCGTATTCGTGGCTTCTACGTTTCAAAGATCAGGCGGTCGAGGAGAGATTCCAAGAAGGTCTTATGCAAGCATTATGGGAGCAGCTAAATGAAGTTAAATGGGCGAAATCGGAAGAAAACGATAGGGAGTATGTGCTAGAGGCATTTAACGATCTCACAATGGAAGATGTACCCGAGGAGGAAGAGGAAGAGGTTGCTGAAGAAGAGGACGCAGGCCAACGCAGCGAACATTACGATACGGACGAGGAGGACGACGACGTCGTCACCCGAGATGAAGACGGAAATGTCAACTCCCAGCTCGCTGTTGGGTATAAACACGATCGATCCTATGTTGTTCGTGGATCAAAAATAGGCGTTTTCAAGCATACGCCAAACAATAATTTAGAGTTTTCTACAAACATCTCCAAGGTCGAAACACCAGGAGGAAAACTCTTCAGTCCTAAGAAAGTCATGCTTCATTGTGAAGATTCAAACATGATTCTTCAAAATGAGCAGGATCCTCACTCTTTGTATAGAATGGATCTTGAGTATGGAAAAGTTGTTGATGAATGGAAAGTTCACGACCATATTCCCGTAACTTCGTTTGCCCCTGAAAGCGTATGTGTTCTCCTTTTACTTTTTTGCTCTACATTCTTGAACTTGTAACATTCCCAACTTACTGTTCGCTTAGAAATTTGCCCAAATGACCTCAAACCAACAATTCGTTGGTATTTCCCGTAACGCACTATTCCGCATTGATCCCCGCCTCTCAGGAAACAAGCTGGTGCAAGCGGACCTCAAAGAATACGTCAAAAATAACGACTTCTCTGCCGCAGCGACCACAGAACAGGGTTATGTCGCAGTTGCCTCCAACAAAGGTGACATCCGTATGTTCGATAAGTTCGGCGTGCGGGCGAAGACACACATCCCCGCTCTAGGCGAACCGATAATCGGTCTAGACGTTTCTGCTGATGGCCGTTGGGTCCTGGCTACATGCCGTACTTACCTCCTTTTGGTAGACGCTCTTCAAAGGGACGGTAAAAATGAGGGCAAACTTGGCTTTGAGAAACCGTTCGCGAAGGACTCGAAACCCCAGCCACGCCGACTAGGCTTGCAGCCGAACATGTCGCCCAGTTCCAGCATGAGACTGGCAGTCGTATTTCCTTCACCCCTGCCCGCTTCAATACCGGCCGCGACGCGTCAGAGACGTCAATCATTACAGCCATCGGCCCTTTCATTGTCACATG